TGCTAATCTAATGGCAAAATATATAATAACGAGCTACTGTATCACATGTGCGTGCATACGTAACGCGTTAGCTTGTATATGTGTGTGCGTGTGCGCGTTCGTCACGAAATTTGCAGTATATAGTAATCGTATGCATATGAAAAAATATAATTTGAGCAAAATCAAATAAGTCGAAGGTATTAGAAGCGTTCGAATAAATTGTTCGATTTCGGAAAAAAAAAAAGAAATAAGTAACAAAGAAAGAAAGTAGATAATTGAAAAAGGAAAAAAAAAGAGAAAAAGAATTCAAAGTAAAATAGTCGCCGAGAAAAGAAAGTTTCATTGAAAGGAAATTTACTTGATGGACGCAAATATCGTTGTAAAAGTATTTGGAATGTGATCGAGAAGACAGCACACGTTCGTTCGTATAGTACTTTGCTAAAGTCGTCGTTACTAGCTTGACTGTTCGAACGTTGAAAGAAGGTGAAAAGGAACGACGAGATAGCTACTTTTCATGTTTTCGGAGGGTGAAAGGGGTACCACGTATTCTCAACGCGTACTGTACATTCTCGTGTCGCAGATAGAAAAGAGAAAGAAAAGAAGAAAGAAAGAAAGAAAGAGAGAGAGAAAGAGAGAGAGAGATAGAAGAAAGAGACATCCCTTTCCTGGATGTCAGCTCGTCGATATTCGTCCACACAATGGGAACGCTTTCAATCGTTTCCGGTTATCGCCAACTCCTTTCGAGGCTTCCGATGTGCAATGTGGTAGATAGATAGATACGTAGGTAGGTAGGTACTTCTCTTACCTGCCCGAGGCTTTCATCGTTGTTTAGATTCCAACAGAGTGGTCGAGAGAAAAGATGGATAGCAATTTTGTCCTTGTACGTATATAGAAAAGAACATTTCCTTCGACAGCTGCTGCTTAGAGACCAAACTTATTTTTCTCTATAGAAACATCTTGTCTTATCGTTCTTGAAGATTTGATAAAATACACCTGGAAGAGGGATATATACACGCGCTCGCGCGCGCACACACACACACACACACACACATGTATATACATATATACGATATACGAGCACAAAAATCAAATTCATATGATTAATAATAAATGATAAAGATTATAATTATTATGATAATGCAATGTTAAAGATATATATATATATATATAGACATATATTTTTTAGACATATATATATATATATATATATATATGTCTAAAAAAAAAAAATAAAAGGATAGATAGAGATGGAGAAGGACGGATTGAAATCGTTCGAAGCTCTTAAAGCTCGATGGATTCATGGCGTTTACGTTTGCGTGGCACGTGGGCCCACTCAAGGGAAACTCTCAGCGGGGCGGCGAGCTCGAATGAGAAGGCAGGTAATGAAGGATGGAGGGGCCAGTGAGTCGGTGTTTGAGAAGCACTAGTCCGCTCCCTCAGGAGTGGTCGGTCTTCTCCAGGATATCCAACGAGCTAGGGACGGATATCCACCGTAGGCCACTTCCCGAGGGATCTTCTCCTCTTTCTCTTTCCATTCACTCTCACTCCCTCTCTCGCTCTCGCTCTCTCTCTTTCTTCCCTTCTTTCTTTCTTTCTTTCTTTATTTCTCCGAAGCTAGGAAAGCCTTTCTCTTTGGTATACTACCACTCTTTCTTTGCTCAACGCAAGTACCTCGGCTAGAGTGAGAAACCAGGTTATATGCAGATACGCATACGCCTCGCTTTTCGCATTTTCCTCCCTATTTTCTCTAACACCGAGTTACCTCTTTTCTTCTTCTACCGTCGACTCAACCAACGATACCCTCAGGAATGCACGGAACCTCTTTCCCTTCGACGTCTATGTTACTTCGTCATCGTGCATCTCCTTTTTTCCCATAACGTTTAATGAATTACTGTGGAGTACTTTGCAACTTTTCTAGAGAATATATATTCTTCTACTTTTGCATATTATCCGACATCCTATACTTCGTTGAATACAAATTTATATATTCTCTATGATGATACAAATGAAATAATAAACCTTATCAATCAATGTCTTTATCAAATCAAAAGTTTAATTATTATTTGAAGCTAGGTGTAAAATTGTCTATCATAAATAATGATTTATAACTGTATCAGATCTCTGATCAAAAGACAAAAGGATATTCTAGTCAGCTGCACGTATCGGTTTCGTAATCCACAACGTTCTATGCTTTGATAGAAGTTTGATGCGATCTGCATAATATAACGATGGGAGAACGATGCGAATGCCACTTCGGTTAAACTTTAGAGAGAATGAAAACTTTTCCGTAGAATGTGATGGAGTAATGCTAAAACTTCTTCACTAGGTAGATGCGCAGAAATAAGTTTATACCTCGAGAACAATTCGTTACATCTACAATTTCGTACGATTTCTTACCTCTCAAGGAGAAATCACCGCAAGAGAGTTGAATGTTGTTTTCCACTGGGCTAGGTATAAATTGCCAGTGAAAATTACGTTCAATTTCAGGCTGGATCTCGACGACTACTTTCTTCGTCAATTTACTTGCTTTCCCTTAATCGGTAAACTCGATAATCTTGTAGGTTTTGAAAGCTTGAGAAGTCTTTCTTTGTCCTTCTTCTCCTATTCCTCTTCCTCCTCTTTTCTACTCCTTCTTTGCTTTTCGCGGACTTGAAAGGTTCGAAGATTTAATTGTAAACGCTGTTTCTCGAAACGACACCCAGCCAAGGTAAATAAATTTATTTACCTGTAAACAGTAGCATATATATTTAGCAGCTTAATGAAAAGTAAGAGAAAAACAAGACAGAGAGCGAGAGAGAGAGAGAGAGAGAGAGAGAGGAAAGTCTTTATCTTATTAGCAAAAAGAAAAAAGGATAAAGAGGCAGAAAAGGAAACAAAGAGATCTGAGAAAAGGGATGGTTAACAGTTAATGAAACGAGATATTTTAACAAGTCTAGAACTTGTTCGATTCGCCTATGCACGAGCCTTTCCTTATCGTCCTATGTACTCTTCCTTTAACGAGATGACCTAGATTTTCGATCCCGCAAAGCAGAGGGAGTCGAAAGAGCAGTGCAACAACTTTCAGTAAAGGAAACCGAACTTGTCTAATTTCTTAGGTCACTGTGGCTTGTTTCATAGAGTTATAGTTCATAGTTAACTGAGAGAGAGAGAGAGAGAGAGAGAGTGAGAGAGAGAGAGAGAGAGAAAAAAGGAACTTGAAATTATAAAAGTATCCAAGCTATATGCTGCTATCTCAGTTTGACTACAATTTTCCCGTCCCTTTACCTTTTCTCTTTTAGATATTTATCTATAATAATTATTTAATCTATCATTGGATTATTTAGATGTTGTATTTTAAGATAAACTTTTACATTATCATCTATTTCCAAACGTTTGATAATAAATTATTATGAACCATCTATAATTAACATTAGATAATAAACAAAGGAAACAAAAAATGAACATCGCATATAATCCATCAACTTAAAGCTAATAAATCTACAAATCTAATATATTTTTCAATTCTTTCCTAGAAAAGCTGGCCCAAGAATTTTTTGGATTTCAACATTTACGACACCCATAAGAACAATCATAGCATCTGTAGATTCATCGAAGAAGGACAAGATAAAAATAGCTACCCGATCAAACACAAAATACCCAAAGTAAATTTGCAGAATAGGAATATGAACTTCCAAGAACACAATGAAATTGACGTCGAGCAATTAGAACACTCGGAATAGCAACAGAAAAAATATATAACTTTATCGTCAGTTAACGAGCGAGATATGAATATCCACATATTATTAAAACATGTACATACACATTATCAAATTATATTAAAACCCCAGTATATTTCCTTATGTAAACGTTAGAAAAATGGAATTAATAAATATAAATTAAATGAGAAAAATAGTGTTATTAATTTACAACTACTACCAGCTCCTATACAAATTTCAAGTCATGCCACCTCCTGAACATTTATGTTCTCCTATTCCAAAATTCAAATTACTGGGAGCACGAAAAATTTTCCCGTAAAACAGGATTTGTAACAGGATCATATGACTTGCAAGGAGGTAGCACGTTCTCCCGCACTACCTCCTGGTAAGTTATATTCTCCTGTTCAAAAATTCAAATTACTGGGAGCGCGATAATTTTTCCCGTAAAACTGGATTTGTAACAGGATCACATGACACGCGAAGAGGTGGCACGCGAGAACGTGCCACCTCCTGGTAAGTTATATTCTCCTGTTCAAAAATCCCAATTACTGGGAGCGCGATAATTTTTCCCGTAAAACTGGATTTGTAACAGGATTACATGACACGCGAAGAGGTGGCACGCGAGAACGTGCCACCTCCTGGTAAGTTATATTCTCCTGTTCAAAAATCCCAATTACTGGGAGCGCGATAATTTTTCCCGTAAAACTGGATTTGTAACAGGATCACATGACACGCGAAGAGGTGGCACGCGAGAACGTGCCACCTCCTGGTAAGTTATATTCTCCTGTTCAAAAATCCCAATTACTGGGAGCGCGATAATTTTTCCCGTAAAACTGGATTTGTAACAGGATCACATGACACGCGAAGAGGTGGCACGCGAGAACGTGCCACCTCCTGGTAAGTTATATTCTCCTGTTCAAAAATCCCAATTACTGGGAGCGCGATAATTTTTCCCGTAAAACAGGATTTGTATCAGGATCATATGACTTGCAAAGAGGTTGCACGTTCTCGCGCACTACCTCCTGGTAAGTTATATTCTCCTGCTCAAAAATCCCAATTAGTGGGAGCGCGAAAATTTTTCCCGTAAAACTGGATTTGTAACAGGATCACATTATGCGTAAAGAATATAATTTTTAATGTTAAATCTGGCCATCTTCTTATAAGTGATAAGCTCTTGTTTGAATTTTAAATCGGAAATGCGAAAATTTTTGTCTCTCATTGTTCAGTTTATTTGAAAAATATAGTATAAAAGAGAGTTACAATGTTTTTACGGATTGTTAGGTCCTGAAGGAATGGTTTAAATAATTATAAAATCATGTTTCATTATTTATATATATTTTATTTTTCGTTTCCGTAGAAGTAATACAATAGCAGTATTCTTTACTATTAGATGAACAATTTTCATAAGCTACGACCTATCAATATAATCGCTTTTCGAAGAAACATCGAGATTTCAAATATAATTTAGCTTGATTTTTTATTCGAATTAATTTTTCGACTAATTTTGAGAGTATGCAGTCTTTTTTCTATCTTTTAATTATCTATTTATTCATCTTCAGCCAACGAAACGATTCCCCAGTGAGTTGGACAAAGTCTCATGAATATAGCGTCCTTTCCAAGAGCATTGGCCGTAAAAACTGAAAAATATAAAGATATATTAAAAGTCTAGAAAGATTTTTTAATGTTTCTTTAGGTGCAAATGAAAAATTCATAAATATGAAGGAAATGAAACTACATTTAATAGTGTTTTATAATTTTTATATAAAAAAAAATGGAAAGACAAAATTGGTGGATCTAAGTATAGGTTTTGAAACAGTATATTTGCTCGAAGATATACGAAAGATATGTGTCGCAGATTTTAGGAATGAAAAAGCTTAGAAAGACACTAGATAGGAAGGAAGGAAGGAAGGAAGGAAGGAAGGAAGGAAAGTAGGACCGACTCGACGTACAAAAATTCAAAATTCGGTGGTAGGAGAACTCGATCGTCTGCATGCGGCAGGATCATAGAAGCTAAACGTAAAATATAGCCAGAGGTTCACGCCCATGCGTCGAGAAGAAAGGTGGGATGGTGAAAGGCGGTCGGAGGGCGGTCGGAGGGTGGTCGAAAGGGTGGTCAAAAGGGTGGTCGAAAGGGTGGTCGAAAGGGTGGCCGCAGTTAAATACCTAAATACCATCGAACCTCGACAGGCTGATACGCGTTCGCGCACGGCTTGTTAAACGATTAATCGCGCTGATTGGATTCCAATTTGTCTGCTAACGACATCCCAACCAAAACTGATATTCGCGTGATACTTTTCGACATTTTCGTTGTCTTCGTTTTTCCATCTTATTTTTATTTAAATTTTTATGTATAAATATATTATTATCACGTTACAATAATTGTAATTAATTACTATTACTATTATTATTACATATTTAGCGAGTATATTTTGAGAAGTTGATTTATTCTAGTGCGATTTGTAGGATTCATTTTGACGAGATGCGTTTGACGTTAACACGTAATTTCTGGTTAATGCTTAGTCCATTATCAATGTCATTTTTCTTTTCGAATAGCTTCTGTCGTTGGCAGACATTAGGGCGTGATACGATTGAGTGAGAAGATTTTCAATCGCAGAAAATCACGAGGACAAACGTTTCGAAGGGCTAGTCCTCTTTTATTTCTCCCTATTTTGACCCTTGGTTCCTTCAAATTTCAATACCAATACGTACAAATTCGTCGAAAAATAAATGTATTATATGTTTTAGATTAACCTTTGCAACATTTCTTTTTTTTTCTCCTTCTTGTTGTTATCTAAAATTTAGCTTTTGTTAAATTGACTTTTAATATTCAAAAGTTTGAATATTTTTCGTGTTTAATATGAAATCATAATAAGCTCGTCGATTTATTAAACAAGAATAGTTTATCACTTGATTAATTTGAACGACATCTTTGCGAGTCCCATTGCTCTCGTTTTTCCTGACAAGTAGTACGCGCAAGCAACGAGAAACACAAAGGAAAAGAGATTGCAACGTATTAATTAATTTCGCTGTGTGGGCAAATGAATTTGTCGCGTTCTATATACGATTGCTCTGTAGGCAACGATCATAATGAAAGTCGCTTAAAACAACCGACGACAAAATGGAAGATCATAAATCTTCCAATGTCCGGCAAAATTAACGTTTTAACGTCAACATCTTCGACGTTATAATTTATATCGTCGTAAATTGTGCTTCCCGATAACTTTATAAAATCGAATGACAAAAAACTTACTTATTTGTATTTTTCTCAAATATATACACAACCAAATAACACTTGATCTTGAATTGGAACGAATTGTTTCGTAATTAATACTCAAACTTTAAAAAATCGAAAAGCTTTGATGTACATGTTTGTTTTACAAAAAGAAAAAAAAAAGAAAAAAAAAAAGAGAAAGAAATACAAAAAAGAATAAAAAGAAAAAAGAGAGAAAAATTTGTTTTTTTTTTTGTTTTCAAATGTTTGTAGGAACGTGCTACAACGCTCGTTCTTTTTTTCGTGTTTCCATTTATAAAAGAAAAAAAAATCTATATATATGTACAAAAAAAAAAAAAAAAGGAAACAAGAAAAAAGAAGGGGAAAAAAAAGAACAGAGCGGACATTGTTTCTCCCTATCATCCGAGCGTTTAACCGATGCGACTCGTCGTTGGCATCGAGAATCGATCGAGCGTTGTAAGTGACACGGCACGGCGTTCGCGCGAAAAAACGTGACGTAGTTTTTGACGGAGAATGAACGGCAAAGATTATGCGCTGGCATTCGTACGAACTATACGTATACCTAGACGATATCTCCCGATCGGAGAGGGATGTTCGTCCCTGGAATAAAAAATGGCGCGACGATTTTCGGTGAGATTCGTCTGTTCAACTTAAAAAATAGCACGCTAGGTTGGACCGATAAAGCATGGGACATTCATCTCGGAACACGGGTACGGCCAGAGTGTGTACTTTTATATATCGAATTGAGATATGTACAATGTTATCTCTTTTGAAATTCGCCGATTTTGTCCTTTTTTCTTTTTTAATCCTTGTTTCTTTTTTTTTTATGAATGAATTGACCGATCCTTTTTTATTACTTTTAGTATTATCTCCATCCTTCGATCTATAAACGAGACACTTCCGTTTAATGATTTAGTCTTCGAGATTAATGTCAAAAAAAAAAAAAAAATAAAAAAAAGAAAATAAAAAACAGAAAAAGAAAGAAAAAAGGACCAAAAGGAAAAAGAAACAAAAAAGAGAAAAAAACCAACATTGCGTTGGTAAAATACGCATGAAAATCGATCCAAAAACTTTTCTTTTTTTTTATATATATATTTCCCGAACGTTCAATGGAGATACAAAACACCTATATGAAAGAGTTTTGTAATCTCTAGAGCCAGTCTTTATCATATACCATCGATCGAGCTTTACACCGTTTAAGCTCGATACGAAGAGACGATTTTTTTCGAAACTGACCTCGCGACACGTAGAGCTTTGCAGTTATTTTGGTTTATTTTATTTTTAATTTATATCGTTCGATTCATTTTTCTTTCTTTCTCTTCTTTTTTTTTTTTTATTTCTTTTATTCAATCTTCGACGTAAAAGAGAAATAGCAATGGAGTAAATATTAACCCTGAATACTCTATAATATTCTAAGATATAGATAGTTCAAATTTGTGAACATCACGTGAGAGCTCTATTCATTCTAAGCTAGAGCAAAAGCGGTGAGGAAAGAGATAGAGAGATAGATAGACAGATAGATAAAGGGAGACAGAATGAGAGAGTGAGGTTGAATTCGAAATTTCGCGGAAGCCTTTCAGCAGTAGCACAGATTCAGCAGCCACCTGCTAAGCCGGACTAAGCTTCTGCAAAGTGTCGTCGACTTAGGGTTGCGATCGGGCAGCTGGTTGGTATGTTGCTCTCTCGTACACACGGCAAGTAATTCTGGTTAGTCTGACGGTGAATTAATAAAGAGTCCAGATTCCCATGGGACCTTTGGGAATCGTTGCTACTCCACACACTTTTCATTCTCTCTCTCTCTCTCTCTCTCTCTCTCTCTCTCTCTCTCTCTCTCTCTCTCTCTCTCTTATTCTCTCTTTCTATTTTCAGTGAGTCTTCTTTCATAGCCTACCCAAAGCAATCCCCTCTTTCTGCAGATCTGCTAACGTGTTCACGGTAGCGAGAGAACGCTAGACTACTGCCCACCAAACATATACACACACATATACTGAAATAGAGAACGAGAAAGAGAGAGAGAGAGAAAGAGAGAGAGAGAGAAAGAGAGAGAGAGAGAGAGAGAGAGAAAATGGGGACAACGAGGGTGGAATTCTAGCAGGGCCAGCGCATTGCCGACGTATTTGCATTCAATTTCTTTCGAAGGGTCCTCCAAGCAGCACCCCTTGTCGATCGTGAAATAGGGTCTAGAGGATAAAACGAACGTACTTGGGCAAACATTAACGGGGGACAAGGTCGAAGAGTTTTCGCAATAGCTTTCTCTCTCTCTCTCTCTCTCTCTCTCTCTTTTTCTTTCTTTCTCTCTTTCTCTAGCTCTATCTTTATCTACTCATCGATACCTTCAAGAAGAGACGTTCGAGAGGCAGCAAGAAAAGCAGCCGAGTATACTGCACGTGGACGTCTGTACACATCCAAGTTTTCCTTCAATGCGCGAATATTTCAGATGCTCCTTTTTGAGATAAGTATCCTCTTTCTGTTCCGTTCTGAATGATTACGTTCGAATTTATAGAAGAAATCCTTTGAAAACATCAAATAATTTATATATATATATATATATATCAGTAATAAATAGTAAATCGAAGATTAATTAAATGAAATTATCCGTTCATTATTTATCTGAATTGCACGAAGATTTAAAAGGTAGGTATAGATCTATTCAAATAGAAATAAATGAAAATCTAGAAAGAAGATACCAAACTTTTTTATATATTTCGTTGAATCGGTATATACCAAAGATCTGTCTATCAACTTACATTTTAGATCGCACGAGCTTAAAGCCAGGGTTGAAATGATGACGTCCATCTGTAAGACAATTCGTCCGTGTGGAAAGACAGGAAATGAAAGGTGCTTCGTGTTGGCTCCCTGTTATAAAGTCGATTTTCTCCTTTGCCATCGCGTTTTCTACGTGTATTTTAGAAAGAAATTCGTGAGAAATTCAGTTTAACGATAAGAAGGAGAAGAAGATAGAGAAGAGGAGGAAATATAGTAAGATAGTGAGGGTATCTACATAGAAACACATATGTATATGTATATATTTCTCTCCCTTCTCTCTCTCTCTCTCTCTCTCTCCCTGTATATATATATATATGTGTGTCGTATAATACTTACGAAGAATATTTTGTGGAGAAAAGTAGAAGTAGAGGAAACAGAGTCAAAAGTTTCGCGAGAAATTCTTGGTTGGCAGGGCAAATTACGTGGTTTGGAGGACGCGCTCGTCCCTCCTTTTCTTTCTTTTCTTCCTTCCTTCCTTCCTTCCTTCCTTCCTTCCTTCCTTCCTACCTTCCCGTATTTTCTCGTATCTTTTTTTTTCTTCTTTTTCTTCCTTTTTTTTTATTATCTTTATAGTTTCTTTTTGTTTTTTTTTTTTAGTTTTACTATTTTTGTTTAGTTTTTTTTTTTTTATCCTATCTTCTTTCCATCTACACTCTTTTCGCAGCGTCCGTCCGTTTTCGTATTACGGTACGATGGCTTTCTGGGTAAGGAAAGGATAACGAAGTCCTCCGAACGCATCCACTGGGACAGGAAAGTCACTGCAACGTCCGGTTTGAGAGTGTCCTTCGAAGACAAACGTCCTGGACGTCTACGGGGATGTCAACTTTTAACTAGAGACATCGTTAATATCATAATGCCAAGAGAAAAAGAAAAAAAAAAAAAAAAAAAAAAAAAAAAAAAAGAAATAATACATTTTTCTGTCTTATATAACTTTCTAAAATTTAACTATAAACTTTTCTTTTTTCTTTCTTTCTTTCTTGAAAATTTGTATAAATAAAAATCATGAAATTCGAAAGAGTTTTTCTTGTCCTGTTTCTTTTTATTTTTTTTTTTCCTTTTTTTTTTCCCCTGAAGAATCATAGTCGTATTTTCTGCTTTCATACCAAACATGATATCTTTGCCAGCATACGACGAGTTTCGAAATAAATCGACGCTTTAAGATGTTATTTCCTTATCAGAGATATTCCAACATAAGCTACAAAATACGAACTTTGATCTTCGTAGTTCACTCTCTCTCTCTCTCTTTCTTTTTATTTTCTCTTTGCCATCGAAAAGTCGTAGATACATACCTACGTGCAGAAAGAACCGATACTCACGAGAGAAATTCTCCTCGGCACTTTTCAATTTCCGACGTTATTTCGTTAAGAACTCGTCTCGAGCTTCCATCTTCCACATTGTTCTCACGATGGTCTTTCTCTCTCTCTCTTTCTTTCTCTCTCATTCTTTTCTGCTCTTGGAAAGAAGTAAATGCACGTACATGTCTGCTGAATCTTCTCCTTCCTCTTCCCTTTTTCCCTTTCTATTTTCCTTCTTTTTTTCATTTTCCTTTCCTTTTTCCTTTTTTCTTTTTTTTTTTTTTTTTTTATATTCATCTTTCTCATCTTCTCAAAGACGTACGATGCAATTTTAATATTTAACGTCCACTCTGCCTGCCTCTTTCCTTCGCGACGAAGTAAAGAATAATCGTCATCAAAGTTGGCATTTCGTCTTTCGAATAACGATCTTTTTTTCTGGACTTCTTCAAGTAGTAAAGTAATCAAAGCTTCGACCACCTCTCCCATACCCTTCGTTTTTCTTATTCTTGCTCTCTATCTCTCTTTCTCTCTCTCTCTCTTCACACATGTACACACAATCTCTCTTTCTCACGCTCTCACTCTATCTATCTTCATATTCCGTTCGCAAAGACTTTACTCGCTACAAACTAGAAAGTCGAAGTGACTTTCTGTAAGGTTCAAAAGGGCTACATGCTCTGAGACGAAATTATTAAGGAGATTTTGGCTAGCTCGAAGGCACATTTTCTCTCTCTCTCTCTCTCTCTCTCTCTCTCTCTAACGCTGATAATCTTCAAAGACGATCCTTCAAAGAGGAAAGAATTGAAGATCGAGTTCCACGAATGAAATAAAACACCAAAGAGATGAATTATAAATTGCCTTGTCGTAAGGACAAGGGACAAGAATAAGGTTGGTAGGACTGCTTTTGAAGAGGGTGGCTTCCCATCGTCACCAACGTCTCTTGACAAATGACTCTCGGCGCCAAGAGCGACGGTCCACGGAGAGAATCCACTGGAATCCGAGACTCTTCTCTAAGGGGGCAAGAGGAATTGAGAAAGAGAAAGAGAGAGAGAGAGAGGGAGGTGAGGGTGTCTCTTAATAATCTCAGACCCTTCGACTCCGTTGATCGCACTAAACTTCCAGCCGATGAGTCAGACGTTTCAATTCCATCGGACCAAGTTTTTCCTCCTAACAAATTATTCTAATTCGATTTTTTCGTCCGGGAGGTGGGGGAAGGGAGGGAGAAGGGTTAGTAAAGTAAATCCTACATGGTATATCGTTCGCGATACTAACTTTAAAAAAAAAAAAAAGATCCTCTAAAAATTTACTATCAAATCTTACTCTAAAAATAGATCCCATTTAGGTTGGATAAAATTTATATGGGGAAAAAAAAAAAAAAGAAGATTGTCCTTAAACTTTCAAGGGGATAGAATTTTCTACGAATTATTTCAAGGAGCCATTATAAATTATCATTTTTCAACTTGCCGATAATACATAAATACATTTTTAACTGTTAATAAGACGATTAATTAGTTTTCAACGTTTTCGTACGAGAGTAAAACTTACGCGAACTTTTTATCACACGAAGCTCGTCGTACGCGTAATTTCGTAATGTCAGAACCGCACGCGTTCTGTTCCTTAGAACATGCTCACGTAACGTGGCTTTTCCGTTCGTCGATTCACCCCTCGGCACCCATGTAACGGCGACACGCAATAGGCGGAGAGACGTTTGCAAGGCAGTCACGCTTATGTTCCAGATTCTTATCCGATTTCCTCGAAGGAAGTACGCTTAAATTTTGCCTCATCGAATTGCTCTCTTTTATTTTTTCTCTCTTTCCTTCCCTCCCTCTCTCTTACTCTCTTTTCATATTTTTATTCTTTTTCTTTTTACTTTCAACATTGAGTATTTTCACATGAAATCAACGTCACTCTATCATTTATGGTGACACAAATTCGAATTGAGTTTTGTCACTTAGACGAAATGGAATAGAAATAAAAGATTTAACCCTGTTATTTCAGTTTTAGAATTTTATGATGGAAAAGAGAGAGAGAGAGAGAGAGAGAGAGAAAGATGGAAAGATAGTTTCAAATCAAAGAAATCATTTTCCCATCAGTTTTCCAGCTTCGTTCCAGTTTATTTAACAAACACGAAAACGATAGCTATACGTACGTATATATGTATATATGTATACATAAGCCACTCCTACGCGGTCCATACTTAATCGATAGCTTCTGTCTCCGAGCATTGTCCCACTTTCCACGGGGTCGTTCGGTCGAAAGTTAATTGAAATTCTATTTTCGAAATACATATATATATATATATATATATGTGTATATATATATATATATGTATATATATATATATATATGTATTATATATATATATATATATGGATATTTTATTTGAGAGATCGTTAGTGTTATTTTCGTCTAAAGATACTGGGTAGAAAATTTCTATTATATATATATATATATATATATATATATATATATATATATATATATATATATATATATATAATACACTTATACATATATGTTAGAATCGATTTTATTTTATCGATTGAGAAGTTTCAACCTGGAGAAATTCATTAATGGGAGATTCGCGAATGAGAAGAATGCAAGCATCGGGGAAAGCACTGCGGTAACTAATTGCAAATTCCAGCTGTTCGTACGAGTGCGAATCGAAGTTGATTAATCGTTTGACCGATATCGCGTGGCAACGCACCTTCGATCGGAATAATCGATCATTCGTTTTAGAAAAGGATCACGCGATCATGTCCTTCCTGCTTTTTCGGGATGAAAAGTCCTCCTACAGGTTCTCTCACTTTCTAGCTACTGCTCTGCTTGAGGGACCAAAACTTGGATAGTCCCTTTTCGTGACTCATACCGATTTATCTAAGCCAAGATGGAACGGCGTCCCGTCTCTACGATAATCCCGAACGATCGTTCATTCGACTGACGCCTTTGGATCGAACCGCTGGAGCATGGATTATCACGTCTTTTGCAAGAGAAAACCAACCGCTCGGCCGTGATTTACTATTTATTATAGTATTTTGCTTTGATGCCTCGTCATCTACTACTCTGCCCTTCCTTATATCGTATATCGAATTTTTCGACGTAAATTTATCGGTCTATAAATTATATGAACATCCCGTTCTTCGTTTTATTTCTCAGCTGGTAGTTGTATGTCTAAAATTTTTCAATGGATTTATATCTAATAATCACACAAAAAAAGAAAAAAAAAATTAATAAAAAGAAAAAAAAATATTTAACCAAACTGATTGATCTACCAATCAAGTCGTATGGGATTGTGATATGATTATGTTTTGATAAAGAAAAATTTGTCAGGGTTTTTTTTTCTGATTCTATTTTTTTTTCTCTTTCTTTCCTTTTCTTTTCCCCAATCTTACGTATTCGCACGAAGATGAGTTGGACATAGGGAATATGGTTTGACGCTGGTGAACGAAAGGACCGAAGGGACTGGTGGTGGTGCTAGAAAATGTCTCACGAGAATTCGGGAACGTCTCGTTGATCTTGACGAGGGTTTTCCACGGAGTGCCGGAGTGCGAAAGATAACTCCGATTTCGACGTTATCGCCTGTCGCGGCCCCAATCGTCGATGACGTTAACGACGGTGTGTCGCAAAGACAAGTCGGCTGAACGAAGAGAAAGAGAGAAAGAGAGAAAGAGAGAGAGAGAGTCAGAGAATGAGAGAATGAGAGAGAAAGATCAGAGCTATCGAAGATATCCAGGCACGCGAGAAAGCCAATCGAGCGAGGTGATGCGTCTTTTCCTAAAACGAATTCGACTTGCTATTGTTCGATAAAAACACAAAAACGTTTTATAAAGTCCAAGAAATTCTTGTCATCGATTCTCGAGAACTGTATAACAGTAGAAAAATAAAGGAACACGCTGATAAACGACTTTTAAATATTTCAAACGATTCGTGATATTAAATCGAACTGTTTAATCACTATGAAAAAAAAAAAGAAAAAAAAAAAAAAAAGAAAGAAAAGAAAAACTATATACTGACAACTTCATCGAAAGAATTTTTAAACGTTATCATCTATTTCTAGAAATACTCATTGTTAAAATGAATTCCATTAATTATTGCACTTGGAAATTGTTTTTTTTACAAGTACAAAAAATTGCTTAATTGTAATTCCGAAAAAGAAATTACTTTCTTTTTTTTTTCTTTTTTTGTTTGTTTTTTCAATACCTTCAACATAGTACGTCTGCCTCTCGAATTTTCGTGGTTCTCACGCAAGGACAGTTAATTCTAAGCTGAGAAGGAGCAGCAATCGCGTGAAACGGACGAGCGAGAAATGGTAAGGGCGTTAATCTAAGCCACGTTACACCTTCCTTGAGCGATAGATTTCTCGAAAGTTTAACGCGAGTGGTGCTCGCTGAGACGGCATCTGTTACCATTCCACGACTCGAAGGGCGATAATTCTCATCGTTTGGCCGCCATTAAATCTTACTCGAAGTGAACTCTGTCTCTCTCTCTCTCTTTCTATAAAACAAGATCCTTGCAATAATCAGCTGATCAAAGCATTTAAACTTTTCCATGGAATCCATGGACGGTGTTGATCTTTAAAACGTATAAGCGTGTATCATTGTATTCTTTGAAAATCGATTGATTAATATAACAGCTATGTATGTACATTTACTTTGAATAAGTATACACATACATAGATATGCGATCACGAAATGAGGAAATCAAATCTTACTCTATTTAATTCTAACGATTATCATAAATGTTGAATGAGATAACTTTGTTCGTTTTAGGTCACGTTTGATGGTACCAAAATGGCGATTCCTTCCCGACGCTTGGTTATTAATTACCGATATTCAAATTTACAAATTTAATTAGCGATATTTAATTATCGGCTTTATATCGGTGGACGAGCGACTAATACTCGAGCGACGAACACGACGTTCTCCATCCGGGAAATCTCGTTTATTAGAGCGAGCCAGCCTCGTTATCGAGCTAAGGACGATGCTGCCCATGGGTCATTAATATTCATTCTCGTAATTTTCTCCGATAAAGAAATCTACCCAAAGAACGAGACGATGGAAACGAACGGAGACAGATTTTTTTTCTTCTTCTTCTTTCTCTTTTTTTCTCTTTTTTTTTATCCTTTTTCTTTTTTTTTCTTCGTTTCTACCTCGACGTGATTATCTCGTTATCGTATCTAAAAGTACGACCAATCGATCGATAGTGCTCGGTCAAAAGGGAACAAGTAATATAGGGTGCGCCAAAAGTTTCTTGATTTTTTTTGTCTCTTTTTTTTTATTTTTTTTTTTTTTTTTTTATATCAATCACTCTTTTTCGCAAACCTTTTAGACTAATTTTTTTTTATTCTCAAATTGTACAATTGCAAACCTAAAAACTTTTGATCCATTGTGTATCTTCAAACAGCGCATTTTCAACGATGATTTTTCAATATTTTTCTTTTTGTCTCTTTTGATCGTACCTAATGATTATATTTTTCTGAGTTCAAACTTTACTGATTTGTAATAGAAAAAGAAAAGATTTTTAATTATTTATTTATCCATATGATTTAATTCTCATCATTCTGATCACTGAAATATTGAATAAGGATATATCTGTCACCATTCTTTTTATTAGACCTAAATTGATAATTTCTTTAAGGATAAGATATAAATTTATAATACGTGTACTAACATTCTATTTCCATAACTCATCACAAACTTTAGGGACTGATAGCTCCAAGTAAAGGATCTGAAATTAAAGCCGTATATTAGAATTTCAGCAGACCTCCTGTCGCGATCGTAGTATTATCCTACGTTATTGAAATCTTAATGGCAGTGAAAAGGAATTCTAAGATTATCCCTCCCTCCCTCCTTCCCCCCCTCTCTCTCTTTCTCTCTCTTTCATGATGATAATGATATAATGATAAAAATAAGAATTAATTCCACGAAGAAACATTATTTTTATCCGATCGTTCATAACTATCGACTTTAATATTTTCTAGAATTATTTACAAACTGAAAAATATATGTATATATATATATATATATATATCGTTTGTTTGTAAAAAAAATGATAGATAACTGTACGAGTTTTATCTCGATCGGTATTATTTTTCCAGCAAAGAAGAAAAACGAGTAACACGCAAAGAAGAACATGAGATTAATGATTCGGCTCGTTCAACCGACGAAAGGAATCTTTTTCCTTTGTGAAATCATTTAGCGAGAAATATTATTTGTAAATTTTGTAATTAAGGAAATAAAAGAAATCAAAAAAGAAAATAAAAAAGAAAAAGGATAATTTCAAATAAACAAATTCAATGAACGAGCAGATTGCAATGGCGATGCTGAGTGAGTAGGTTTGAATTCTCTACGCTGGTACCGAAAATTTCCGGCTGCTTTTATTTAAGACTTAATGCCATCCTTCGGTAGCAGAATTTACCCTTTTGACGTTCGCCAATCTGCATAGATTAATTTGCATATGTACATCTGATTATACAGAGTATTCAGCTAGATAGAGAGAGGGAGAGAGAAAGAGATAAAGATAGAAAGCTAGAGAGAAACAGACAGACAGACAGAGAAAAAGGGAGAGAGAGAGAGAGAGAGAGAGAGAGAGAGAGAGAGAGAGAGAGAGAGAGAGAGAAAGGAAGAGAGCGTCATGAAACTTGACCCTTCCACCACGATTTCGTAAAAATATGGCACAAGTTGAAAAGCATTTCGGATGGATGCATCAAACGGTGCCTGTATGCATCGCTAACGATCACACTTTCCCACGTAACTGTCATATGCGCCTCAAAAAAGCGAACAAAAAAAAAAAGGGTGGAAAAAAGAGAAACGAAACAAAATAACGGAACATTTCACAAAAATCCTAAATTGTAAAGCACGTTTATCTAGCAACATTATTAGGTTAATTTTTGTAAAAGGTCGATTAATGGAATTCCCATTGAAAAATCTTTTTCATTCGGGATCATTCGGAATGCACTCAATTATTTTCAATTGTTTCGATTGGTCCCTTTGATAATAGTTACTCGTAGTCGCACGAGTGTCGTTTGTACGTCCGATCGAAAGGGATTGAGAGGGCTCGATATAGTGAAATAGATAGATAGAGGAGAAGTGGGTAGGTATTCTAGGCCGGAGGATGGGTCACTCTATGCGTAGAGAACACCATCGATGCAGGGGAGAACCGTAACGAGAACGTTAAATACCACTGCCACGCAGATTCAATCGACTGCGACAAAAATAGCCAAATCGAAAAGTTATGCATCAATTGATCGCAACTCGCGGCTTGAATGCCAATTAGTACGGATTTATTAAAATGATCGGCTGTCATTTACCGCGGACGCGTCACATGCCATCTCTCTCTCTCTCTCTTTCTTCTCCTCCTCTCTGTCTCTCTTTCTAGTTTTTATCTGCATATATATTCCCATTCTATCTATTTCTCTCTCGTGGTGGTTGTTTCCTTGCCTCGCGTGCAAGCTAGATGTACGATTTTAATGAGTTTCCCATTCGGTTCCTCCTGCCACCCTGTTATTATTATAGATCCGTAGATTTATTGATCATACACCATTGCCATTGCTTTCTCTCTCTCTCTCTCTTTCTCTCCCTCTCTCTTTCCTACTGTGTGGTGTGTTTTCAGAGGCTGGACAAACGTTGTTCATTAATTAGTGAGTACGATTTATTGTTAATTGCTAATCGACGGCATGCATAATTCAACGGGCATTCGATCGCGCGTGCCGTTTGGTCTTATCTCGTTAGTTTCACGGATCTATGTATATCGCTTTTTGAAAGGAATGAAAATTGTTCAAAGAGTTACAAATTGTAATTGCATTTTTTGTCTCTCTCTCTCTCTCTCTCTCTTTATTCTATTTTCTTTTTCTTTTTTCTTTTTTTCCTTTTTTCTCTTCTTTGTCATTTCACTTACAAGCGCAAGCAAACACGCGATAGCTATTTCTATGTTCCTTCCAAGTATCAGCGAGTTTACACACGAGAGAGAGAGAGATAGAGATAGAGATAGAGATAGAGACAGAGATAGAGAGATAGAGAGAGAGAGAGAGGTAGCAATGTAGTACGACGAGCTCGTGACGCGGGACAATTCGATTGCCTTCGCTGACTCGCCTTACTTCTACTATATTTTTTCCAAAGCAAACAACGAAGCACCAACGCGTTGTTGATATCTACTACTTTTACTACTACTACTAGTATTACTACTACTACTACTACCACCATACGCTTTACGTGACCTCTTGAGAGCGAAGTTTTTCTTTTTTTTTCTTTTTTGTTTCTTTTTTAAAGTACGCGCCTACCACAGTCGCTTATCTTTAGAAAGGGAAAAGAATATACAATGTAAAATGCTCAACGATCGCGTGAATCTTTTTTCACTCGAAAACACATACCTACATACGTAATTTTTATCGAACGTTTTCTTTTTCAAACAACCTCGTTTTCGATTCTTTTCTACGATACGAAAAAAAAAAAAAAAAAGAAGCTTCTCATCGTCCAAGTTTTTCCAACGACATTGGCGCGCACTTTAATTCAATGTGTTTCGTGTTTGTTAAAAAAAAAAAAAAAAAAAAAAAAAAAACTCAAAAGAAAGGAAAAATTATATGACGCGAAAACTTATGTCAACGATGTTAAAGATAATTATGTCAATAAACGAATAAATAATTTCAACTTTGAAAGTATAGATATTACGTTGGATCGAGTTTTCATAATTCCATACTTGGAAAAAGAAATAGTAAGGGACACGGAAGAAATGAAGGGAGAATTGAAAGAAAAATAATAGTACACATCCTTTTCGTTATCAGTAAAAGGTGTCTATGTCTTTGGTATATGTATATATATATATATATATATATATATATATATAAACTGGGCACGCTCTCGCGAATCTTTCGTGCCCTGAGAGTCAAGTCGGCCCGTAACAGAGTTGGAAATTATAACGGACTTTCCATTTAAATCCTCTGGGAAAGCTCGGGAAACCTGAGTGGCTCTTTCTATGCAAACTCGACTGACTCTTACTTAACAAAGCGTAATTTATCGAGCTCCGAGAGGGTGAACGAGGAGAAGAAGAAAGAGAGGGATGAGATAAAAAGACAAGTGAAAGGGAGAGAGAAAGATGAAGTTGGATGGAACGAAGAAAAGAGATGGAGACTTGTATCTATCTCGATATTACGCACTTTCCTTCAGTCCCTAGAGAGTAATTCGAGAACGCTCTTCTCGTTACTTATTTCTCGAAATCGAAAGAAAAGATAGAAGAGGCGGAGAGAGATAGAGAGAAAAGAAATGTAGGCGATCCAGCATTATTATTGACAGATTCCTTAACGAAAGATTTCTCTTGTGATTTTCCTAAGAAAATGTTAACAGGAATCATTGTCATGAAAATTGTAAACACTGATATGAGTTATGATCGTAGAAATACCTGCTTTTTCGTTCATAACAAATGAAATATCCTTAGATATGATATTTCAGACATTCAACGTGTTCTCTCTGTTGTAACTGGATACATCTTTCGTGTTTTATCCCGTTTGGTGAACCTGCTAGACTCACGGAACCTGCAGCGGCAATAAAACGACGATATATGTATGTGTATATGTGTATATATATATATATATATATATATATATATATATATATATATATATAAACGGAGGGTTGAAACAGAGAAGGAATAAGAGAGACAGATAAACGAACGCAGACTCGCACCCTCCTTCAGTAGAAAAGGTATATCGAGGACAATGGGATCTCATCGAGAGCCGGTTCTCATCTTTCATTTCAATGTGGCACGCGCCAACTTCGCATCTGGCAGGTCCACCAGGGTGCAATTGAAACTGTGACGGTGGAAAAGTGCTCCCTCTTGTTTTTTAACTTCTACCTCTTCTTCCTCGACTTGATTAGTTTCAACTTGTAATGTATATCAATGTTTAATATTCTGAAAATAATAAAACGATGGTTAAAACATTTCTTATTGCGTGTTCAATTTTTTTATTTATGTATTTTTTTTTCAAAAATGAATTAATTTATTACCCTTAGCGGGGATGATATTAAAATTTCATTTTACAAATTCCAATATATAGAAGTAAATCGGGACCTATGTGATAGCAGAAATTGCTACGTCGTCCTCGTCGTCGTCGTCGTCGTCGTCGTCGTCGTTATGGCAAAGCTTGGATTAGCTCGTACGTGGGCGGAGAAAAAAAATCGCCGAGTAAGTCTGGCTCGAGTCATAGAAAAATTCCGTTTCGTCGGCACGGGCCATTACCATGAGCAAGAGAAGGAGGAAGAGGAAGTGGAAAAGGAAGAGGAAAATGAGAGAAGATGTAGTAATAGTCTCTTTTCGTGAAGTCAATCGATCGTTCGATTTATCTGTCTATCTATCTATCTATCTATCTATCGATCGATCGATCGATCGATCGATCATTTAACAAAGAAAAAAGATTAAAAAAGAAAAAGAAGAAATGAAAGAAAAGAAAAGACAAGAAAGGAAGAGAAAAAGAGAGGAAAAAAAGGGCGACTCATTTGAATCCGGGAGACGACAGTAATTGAACTCGTTCGATCGAGTAATAAAAAGGTAATCCGCGGATGGTTTTATTTCCTCCGAGGAACAGAGAGGACGACCCTTTTTATCCATTCCCTCTCTGCAGGTACGCTTAACGTCACTAACACATCGAGCTACCCCGTTCACGTTCATACCGATTCTCAATGTCTCTTCCTACGTGACGCACGACTACTTCGACTATTTCTACCTTTTTCTCTCTGCAGGCATTTTTACTTCCTGCCACCCTAACCTTGTCCACCCTTTCTACTGTTCCCCGTTCTTCTCTCTCTCTCTTTCTTTTTTTTCTTTTTCTTTTTTTTTTTTAACTGGCTCTCTATCCCTCTTTTCTTGTCGTTGCGACTCAACTCGAGACGTCTGGCACTGGCGGTCTCTGATTAACTCGAAAGATCGTCCCATCCAACCGACCGAGAAACTTCTTCTTCTTCTTCTTCTTCTTCTTCTACTACTTTTCCTCTCTTTCTCTCTCTCTCTCTCTCTCTGTCTCTCTTTTCTACGATCTTCTAAGATCGAGGACGATAGAATGAAAAATAGAAAGAGTGAGGTAGAGACGAATGAAGAGGTTAAAGACAAATAATGGGCAAAAGAGGAAGACAGTGAGAATATCAAATCCCCTTTCCCTGCTCTTCCCGATGAGGGAAATCTAAAAGTATTTTTTGTTTTTCTTCCTTCTATCCCGAGAGTCGTGTCTAGTCATGTTGAGTCAAGTCGATTCAAGTCATGTAGAATTTCTAACGTTCAAGTTAAGACTTTCGTCGCGACATTGACCGTCTCGTCCTGCGTATCCTTGGAGATACGAAAGTACTATTATTATTATCCAGGGATAAAGAAAGTACGAGAAACCGAGCTCGTTTTTAGATCGTTCGACAAGCCTCGAGCGAACGAACGTCTCCTGTGTGATAAAGGTAAAGAACAAGAAAGGGACCTCAAACTTAAGCAAGAAGTCTTTTTCGTATCTCCATTGGGAATTTTATGTTTCGAATAAGAATTTTCTGTTGAGTGAAACTTAGAAATTATATTGTTATCGTTAATAATGTTCGATACGTTAGATTTCATTTCGATCTTTATATTTAATTATTCAAATAATTGCTAATTATTTGAATAATTTTATTGCTAATTATTCAAATAATTTTACTCAACAAAAAAAAAAAAAGAAAAAAAAAAGAAAGAAAGAAAGAAAGAAAGAAAGAAAGAAAGAAAAAAAACTACCTGTTCCTTTTAATCTCTCTTTCGAAATAAGTTACATACTCGATCCTATTGGCTAATTACGAAATAAACGTATCATTGCATAAACGTGAAAGTTTGATTTCCCTTGAAAAATTCTTTTTCCATTTGATCTAATTAATAATTAATCGTAAGAAAAATTATTTGTTAAACAAAATCCTTAGATTTTCTATGTTTCGCATGAATTTAGGTCATTTGAAAAAGATCCCAATTCAAGCTGGGATTTCTAGGAAAGCTCGTTCACGTGTTCCCATCTTTGTCAAGTTCCCGATTACTCAACCTCGACCGAAATACGTAATCATGATCGTCGTAGTGACGGCAGGAAAACGTGCAAGCAAAAGCGGTCTGGAAGCTGAAGCACGGTTTACTTTAGCCAGGCCTCGCGATAGAAGACTAGAAGGGATTGAATAGCGAAGGGAACATAGAGAGGGAGGAAGGTCGGGGTGATGGGGAGGTTGGTTTAATTCATTTACCGCAAGGACGCACGTGGAATATAGGTCTCCCTTTCTCCTTCTCTTACTCCCTCATGATACCACGAGAGCTGGAAAGCTTCTGGCAAACATCTGCGAACTCTTGCGGAGTCCCAAGGAGACTCCCTAGGGAAGGAAACCCGATAATATTCCCGCGGGCGGTCCGATCGAAAGAGAGTAGAAACGAAATCGTGAGAAAATTCATGCAACCCTTAAAACGCACGTCACCAGACTCAAACCTAGGAACTTTTTATTATTTCACTTTCTCGTTTTTCTTTGTGTCATATTTTTTATTTCACTCTTCCTGTCTCGCCTCTCTTTCTCTCTCTCTCTCTCTCTCTCTCTCTCTCTCTCTCTCTCTATTTTTTTGTTTTTCATCTTCCGTTCTTTCGTTTTTCGGGTGAGAAAAGAGAAGGGGTAGGAGGAGAGACTGAGGATAAAGAACTCGGGCCGATGCAATCCGCGTTGATAATCGATATCCCGGAAATGCGGAACGTTCGCTTGAATACGGCCGATAAATCGAAGGTGCGCCTTTTATGAAACGCTCTCGTTAACGTGAATATAAATTTGTCGATCGCAATCTCGATAATCTTCAACGTTCTCCGCTTCTCTTTGTCTCTCTCTCTCTCTCTCTCTCTCTCTTTTTCTCTGTCTTTCTTTCTTTCTCGTTCGATCAAGTGTATACTACGTTTGCACCTTTTAATTGTATGTGTACCTGTATACACATGCGCGTGTGTGTTTCGTGAGACTTAGCGAAGATGAAAAAATAAAGAGAAAAAAGAGAACAAAAAAATCATCGCATGTATTAAAACGACAGTTTTGTCAGAGTGAGAGAAAGAGGGAGAGAAAGAGAGAAAGTTTCTAACGATGAGCGAAAATTATTTTTGATGTTCCGTTAATGAGATTTCACATAGATATATGCAGCAATGGTACTAACAGCGATAGTAGTTGAAAGTACCGATCGATCGTATTAACATTTGGCTCGTGTTTCCATTGTTAAATAAAATCAATGTCGCCTTCGGCCGTGCTCGCGAATATGACGTAATCAATTTAACGAAGTTTTCCAATTTTCACTGGTTTATCCTGCCGATATTTCGAGCACTCTCGTGTGCAAAGTCGATTGTGCATATTCACTTTTATTATTATATATATATATATATTTTTTTTGTTGTTGTTGTTTTGTTTTTTATCTCATCGTTCTTTTCCTGTTAGCAAGTAAAAAGTGTCGTTTATGAAGGATCGCCATTTACTTTGTCTCTGTGTATTCAGTTTAAACGGATAATCTGGCAAATTCGGATTTCAATGGAAAACATGGCTACGCCCTGAAACGACAAACGCGTTACATGCTTTTCCTACATCGATGTACGTACGTGTACGTACATATCTATGGATCCACGTAGATCTTTTTTTTTTTTTTTTTTTTCTTTCGATCTGTCGCAACACAAAATGTAACGATGATTTTAAACATCCATTCGACCTGTCAATGTTAATGCACGTATTACATGTCATTTCCATTATATTATGAACATAATTTATAATGTTAAATATTTGTTGCAAATTACATTTATAATCTCTTTTTTCATTTCTTCGTGTCATTCGTTTATTTCTAAACATAAATTCCGTAGTTTATCATCGTGTCATGTTTAGAACCACTGAGAGAGAAAGAGGACTCATGGACGAACGTTTAATGCTATTATGCGCTCTTTCTTTTCTCCCTTTACTTCGAAGCCCACCAAGAATCTCAACGTCTTTGCACTTTTTCCAAGGGCCTTCCTTTCCATCGACGTAAATTACTTCACTCTTTCCCATACTTTGCACTTACTCTTCATCAAGCCACCTCACGTGTATGAAAAATTTTTCTTTCGACCTGTGTTTCAAAAGAAAACAAGGAAAAAAAGAAAAAAGATATTTGATAAGCAAGAAGAAGGTAAGAAAATTTATTCCCTTTCTTTCTCTCTCTTTTCCTTTTAAATCAATTAGCTAGTAAATGCATATACGTATAATATATAAAAATAGTGAAATCGATAGGTATTAAAAATTGTTGCTAATGTGAACGACTTCGAGGATCGACCACCACGGCAACGTTAGAAATATATATTTATAAAACAATAATTTTGTGACAGGTTAAATATATATTAAATACACAAAACAAATATGGGTTAGAAAATCTGATCTTTCTCTAAGATCAACGTTAGGAAATGTATTTGAAAACAAAAGGAAGACCGAGAATTGATATATCTATTTTGAGGTGTGGAAGAGATTCGAAAATCATGAAAGGATATGAGAAAAGAGGAAATAAGGGAGAATAACGTATTACATGGATCTGGGTAAAGTGTCATGTTGTAACGGTCTAGGGTGAGCTCGTGGGACAGGATTTACTTAACGGTCGAGCGTTAAGCTGTCGGAATAATCCACGCAAGGCAGGAGTAATAATGGACTCAAGTGCAAACTTGCCAGCAACGGCGGTGCTCGCCCCTTGACGGTGTAAATAATGCACGCTTTACCAACGCGAGATCCGCACGCGTCTCCTTTCCTTCTCTTCCTCTTCTTCCCTTTTCCGGAAGGACATTATCCTTAACGAATTGCGTACCAAGTATTTGCGTACAAAGAGAACAATACCTAGTTTACATCCAACGAGGCCCGACAAAAATTCATCCACCAAAATTTTCCCAACGTTGTAAATTA